ATTCCTAGTTTAGCCGGGAGTAATTTTTCCATTCGCGTTCGGGTTACGTCGGGGGAGTCGGTTCGGGATCGGCTTACCGTCATCGGCGGGTTGAGAAACTCGATGACCGGCTGGACAAATAAACGGAACGATGGGAAAACGAATTCACATCGCCGCCGACAAGGCTCGTTTCGGGACGAGCTGCTCGGAGCACGACGAAGAGTTCTCCATGCTAGGAAACGCCTCTCGCGCCTTTGTCGAGCTCGGAAATTCCGGAAAAAATGGAGTTTGCGAACTCCAGGCTCTGCTCACTGAGCCGACGCCGACGCCTCCCGGCGAAATGATCCTTCCTCTTCGGGGGGGACTACGGAAACATGCTCAACTTTTGTGAGTGTAGACTGTGGAACTCCTCCAGTGAAGAAACTGTGGAAACTCGACGGCTTGCTCCGTCTTCTGCCCATGGCGCGGAGAGGGGGAGGATACTCCGAGAAAATCCGCGAGTGAACTCTCGCGATTTTATGATAGAGGGAGAATGAGCGCATCGGTCGTATTTCTACATCTGGAGGGATCTCCCGATCGATCCGTCGGTCGATGGGAGAAATCGATTCTCGAAGGAACTCGGTAGCGGGTCTTGCAGCCGCTCAAAAGTTCCTTCAGCAGATGATTGCAATTCGTATGATAGCGTCCACCGTGACGGTTCTCAAGGCCAACTCCATTTCCGTCTGGGTCGCCGTTCCGAGCTTCGTTACTCCGGGCGCGATGTGGGCATTGCAAAGTTCTCTCTTCGCGGCAAGAGGGAATTGCGCCGACAGAGCGAGATCTGTGTCTCCAGGACAAGGTCATCTCGTTCACGGCAGCAGCCGCGGGAGGAAAAGTGATGCTTCCCCGTGTTATAGAGATGCAGGAAAAACAGCTGCGATGGCGAAGAGCAGATTTTGGGCATATTATCGATGCATAGTGGATCTGTAATGAGGCACGACATCCGATCCTCCTGAGCTCTATCCCTGGCCCGGCTCCTGAAAAGTCCTCATTATATAAGGAAACGATGCGCTCAAAATCACGTCGCCTATCAAAAGTCTCATGTTCTCGGCTGACACTGCTCTCCTCGTTGAGGTTGCCTGCACCGCGGCGCTCATAAAAATGTCCCTTCAAGCTCAAAGGATTCCAGACCTGAAATTGCCTTATGCCATTGGAGAGGGCACCTGTCGGAGAACATATGAACATTCCAACTCGACGCAGACAGTCCCGAGTCTGTCACTCCCCGAAATTCGGAAAATTTTGAATTCCCATCGAAGTGAACTCGGTTGCGTGGGAATGCTCGGGTTCCATCGTCCTGACTCACCAAGCAAATATTCGTATCCGTCGCATACATCACCGGGATATCGCGAGTGTCCGCTAAACTGCCCAGGAGAACTCTAGAACCAAATTCTGGAACCGAATCGAGAGGGAAGTTTGTTTGCGCATTCGCCTCCTAATGGGTTTGCCTTTAATAGTATATGGCGTTTCATTCGTTCAGAAGACAACAGTTTGCCTTCAACAAGATATCCGCTATTTTGGATGAATTATCAGGCTGATATTCGAGTGGTGGGCGATTATCGATTCGGTGGCGGGACCCACCTCGCGTGAACGGGATCCTTTCTTCCATCCACTAGTCGATTGTGTTAGGCTGATACGCTCAATGAGCGCGCGCAGCTAGGGCAATTTGGCTTCGAGGAGATATTCCGTGCAGCGATTGAGGAAGCACCTGAGAGAATGTGAGCTTCAGGGGAGCGTACATCAACATAATTAGGTTTTCTCTCTTTTTCTCGAATGTGCCACGAGACCATCATCCTGTCGAATCGGAGAAAGAGATGGAATCATACCGATGGGGGCTCGCGGTTATTGCTGATGCTGTACGTACCGTGGAAGATATTCCGATCGTGGCTGAAGCCGCGGCCTTGGATGGAGCCGATGACCTTGACGGGAAATACGGGGGTTACGGGAGTCCTGGGGATTTCCAGGGGAAGGGAAGCTGTCGCGACGGGCCCGGCGGTAGTGGTCTTCGCGTGACTGAGCGGAGCTCCGTGGACATTCCTATAGGGATCGCCCCGATGCGAGAGATATGTAGGTCTCGTAGGGTGGGGGAGACGTGGAAAGGAAAAATAATTCCGTGGAATACCAGAGTAGGCTAGCGCTAACTCAATCGTACCATGGGCATCGATACGATCCGATTATGTGATGGGAGCGTCGATGTGATGGAGAACGAGAGATGGTCGTGATTTGCGACGAAAGGGAATGGATCGGTATCGGGACTCTGAGAAGAATTCCCGATACTGGATAACCTCTTCCATACATCATGTCCAACGATCTCCGATTGCGAAGGCGCATGACAGCCACTAGGTGGACCGGCTCGTGACCTTGACGCGATGTCAAGACCTCTCGAAAACTTCATTGCTCTGTGGATTTGTCCGTCGAGAGTCGTAACGTCGTAAGTCTCGTCGGCTTTGTACCGTTGCGCCCAAGCCCTTTCCAAACGCTGCATTCAATCGGAACTCTAACGAAGTGCTTTCCCGCTTTTCTTCTTCGATTGGTGACATCGCAGGCTCTCCGGGGTCTTGGATAGCGGCGCTCTCTCTCTAGACGAATAAAGTTCCCCTCAATGTCACCGGGCGTTTCATTGTGTGCGACCGTCCGAGTCACAAGCGGAAGTTTCTGAAGGCTGATTCAGCGTTTTAGAGCCTAAGGCGAACCTCGATTACAAACACTGCCACAACGAAAATTATTCAAAAAGAATAAGATATCTATGGCTCCAGCTTCTCCGACTTGATTCCATGACGGATGAAATGACGAAAAATATCCCACCCGTATTCGTAACCTTCGGCAACGCGTCGGTCAGGACAAAACTTGTGTTCGAGATTCCCGGGCTTGCTTATGCATCCGGCGAAATCATTTGCTTTCACAACAGCCATTTCCGTGCGGAGCAACTCTCACTTGCAAGCGGGGACGAGAGAGTGCGGCGAGCATCGGAAAACATTGTAATCTCTCGGTCCCTTGCTCGTTGGGCTGCCAGGGACTTCACCGTCTGTGCCCTCCGCAGCGTTCCTTGACTCTGGAGTTGGTTCCCATCGGCCTCATCTTCACTATGGTTTCTGATCTCTGCTGCGATCGTTCGGCTCAGCTATTGCTCCTCTTCGGAATAATTAAGGTCAGGAATTCCCAGGGGAAATACGCCAAGACCGCAACGTCCCGATCTTGACACCGAGGGCTTACATTCCTAGGTGTTGATGGATCGAGGGTGGGTCTTAGCTCAGCTGGCGATTGTCTCAAAGGTCAACCATTAGTCAGGAGCAAAGCCTATTTTTTTCGCAGCAAGTGCGTGAGCCGCTCGCCCACACAGAACAACCATCCTATAAAAGGAGTCCCGTCCGAGAATATCTCTCTCTCAGAACGATGACGCGGTCGGGATCGTATCCCTAATTAGCATCCGCTGCATCGCGAGTCGCACGCAATTTTTTCCCGGGCCCTCGTAGGCTTCATTCGTCAGAAGCGCTACCAGCGAAACAGCACGTGGCTCGCTCGCTTGTTAGTTCCTAGAACTATAGCTCCTGTTGTTATTTTCTGTTTTCGCTGTTTACTCTGGGACAAGGCCGAAGTCCCCGGAGGTGGGATTCGGATTGGCGCAGCAGCCTCTTCCAGAGGAGACCAGAGGTCGACGTTCGTCGATCAGCTCCTCTCGCCGGCTCCCTCAGCGTCGACTTCGACGAACGTTGCGCAATCACAGCCCACGGATTAATTCCCAATTTTCGGGACAGTCGGGATAAGGAATCGATCGCGGAGGAACCGACGAGAATTCATCCGTCATCCAGCTCGTGGATCGATTGCGACTCTTCGCCAGCTTCCAAGTCACTCCCCAGAAATTAACACCGAAATTCGTGGGAGGGCGTCGATTTACTCGTTTTCGTTCTCTCGTTGCTGCGAGCTAGTGCCCAAGCAGCGCGGGAGCTTGTTGGAGGCTCGGAGAGGACAGTTGCCTCGAGCACACTCGACTTGTCGCACCAGGTTGACCGCTGCTCGCCGCGCTAACGGAAGAGGCTTCCTCCAGTAATTATGATAGCGAGGTGCTTGAGTCCCACTTCTGCCTGCCGAAACCGCTGCGACAGCAAATTCCGCTCGGTGGAGGGCCCCGGACTTCGCTCTCTCGGGACTTGTTCGGCGAATCGATTGATCTCTATGCAGGGATTGGGCTGCTGTTGAGTGCGGAGTTTCCTCACGAAGATTACCCCTTGTCGAGCAAATCGCGCGGCTCGGGGAAAATCTCGTCTACGAAGCTCGCTCGGAGCGGCTGATTAAGCGACGTATGCTGATCACATCCCAGGAATTTCGAGCTGACTGAGATCGAAGTTCGGCAATGCACGCCGAAAATCTCTGGGCACGTGAGCCCGCTGACGGCGATCCTACGACGAAGCATAATAATGTTAGCGATTCTCGTCGTATCGGGAACGCGTGCTCGGCTGGCGGTATCCGCGCGACGGAAGGGTTTTATTGTTCGCGATTCTCCTCTCGGTGCATTTTTGGGCTCTATTACGCTACCTGTACGAAAATGCGGTAGGCGTAAATCATCAGCTCCGTAGCGCGCTGATGCTTCGGCTCGCGAATCCGGCGAAAACAAATTCCCTGAACGAGAGTCGAGACCGATCGGAAGAGAACCACGGGCCCGAACCTACCGGCGAATAAGCAGCTCTGGTACGGTGTTGGGGTAAGCTTCCCGGCGACGAGGAGCTCAGGTGATGCGCAGGAGGCAGATCTACCAGACCCTCGAGGGAGGGTCAAAAGGTGTCCCTGTGTGCTCGGCGAGTCGTCCAAGGGCTAGTTCACGTCGCCGATGCGGCCACCTATTCAATGTTTGAACTAGAAATGAGGTCCACATGTTCTCGTGTCCGCATTCGCGAACTTGACTTTGAGACTTGAAAAGACCCTCGTCCTTCAGAATACGATTCTCGAATTTTCGGATTCCGGCGTCTACATTCCTTTGGGCGGACACGATGTCAGTTCATCCATCGAGTCACGGAGCTAAAACCCGCAAATGGGAATCGGATAACGCGGCGCTCCACCGGGATCAGATGTTCCCCGAGCCGTCGATACACGAGAGGCATACGGGAGGAAATACTCGGATTTATTGCGTTCCTCCGGCTCAAGTTGGTTTCAGCTGGGTTCACCGAGAGTGCCGTACTCGGCACTCATTTTAATATTCACTGCAAGCTTTTAATGGGTCTCGCCCAAGTAATTGACTGGCAGCTGCCTATGCAGAGTCGCCTCAGAACGAAATTGAATGACGCTCGCTGGCTTCGGTGACTCTCATAAAAGCGTTTTTTAGGGACCCGGAATCCCGGGGTCTCTCGTGACACAGTTGGGTAACAAGACCCAAGTGTTACGGGTGTTCTCCGACAAGGCCGTATGCACGCTCCGGCGACGCTCGGCTGTCAACTCGATCCTCGCGTGTGATTTGTCGTTGAGGTTGTCGTAAATTTTTCATCTTTGCTTTGCAGAGGAGAATGGCCAGCACCCGGAGGTCCGTATGGTCCGAAGGTGAGCGGATCTCGATGAGCTCGGCTCAGCTTCACCACTCGCTTCTCCAACGAGGGAACTCCCTCTATCCCCGACGGGTGTCTACCTTCCCGCTGTTCGACCGCGCCGCTAGAGCTTCATGGTGAGTGATTTCACGCGACGTTATTGAAATCTCGCGTTGGTGGCCTTGGAGGCGGCCGCGAATTCGTTTTCGGCTGAATTATTCATCCGTGTCCTCCAGTCGAATCGATGGACGTCGTCAATACGTAAAACAGCTGTGACTGATGATCTGACACTCGGGGGAGATTCGACTACGCACTTTATGGGTAAACTAGGAACGAATTTCTCGCGATCACCCCCGCCAAAACTCCGATACTCGTGTTCGCGGCTCGTAGCCCAAGTTGCTCAAGGGCGAACGTTCTCGGCATGCACGATGAGACAATTCGCACTTCACTCCCATCATTACAGAGGACGATGATTAGCTGTTCCGCGGGGCATCATCCGCCGAGATCTGTTCCGCCGCAGTCTCCGAGGACCGAGAGCGTGACGCACTCTTCTGTCTCCTTGCGCAGCTCGAGCTCTATTCTGCCTTCGTTGGCGTTTCTTCCTACCATTAGCGTCGTTGTTTTGCGGCTGCTTGTTCATCAACGTTCCGCAGAGGTTCCTCTCGGCATCCGACCGGAGTCCCCTGAACTCCCGGAAAATCTGAGATTCCCCCCCGACGAAAATTTCCGACTGCTTGTGGGTCGGAGTTTATTTTCCTCGTTGGCGAATAGAGCTCCTATCCGGGGAAATATAACGAGTTTGCGGCGGGAGGGATCTCGTGAAAATTATTATTGAGGTTTACTGAGCAAGGTATCCGGTGCGGAGGTATGTAGCTCGCGGAAGAGATTCTGCGCTGATACACTCCCACGGGAGGGTTCGAGAGCACTTGACATTCAGGGAATAATATAAGCGTATAAAAACCTCATAAAAACCACTCGCTGACTCGCTGAACTTCACTACCGCGAGAGTCGTCGAAGAGATGGATTGAGAGAGGCCAGACCCACCAAACGACCATACGCTCCGTCGGAGCGCTGTCCATGTGGACAAGAGCTTCTCAAATCTAGGATCTCGAGTTCTTTCACGAACCGAGCTCTAACAAATATCAATCCGTTCTCGGTCGGGACTGCTCTACCTCTCTCTGGATTTTATTCCTCCGAGAGATTGCTCGTGAGTGATCCGAGTCCCGAGAGGGTTCTGAGAGTGTAGAGGTATTAGTGTCTAGGGGGCTTTGTTGGCTGACTGCTGACATTCTAGTCTACTATCTTCCGGGAGTTGATGACTACAAGGCGCAGCAATCAAAATACATAGTCAGTCTGTCAGCCAGTACCCCGCTGGCCGACGCTCGAGTGTTCATCGAGTCGAGTAGTCGAGCTTGCGAACGGTGATGTTGTCGAGAGTAAATATTTTATTTCCACAGGTGGAACCCGCGCTTCGATTCCAAGGTCCTCGAGGAGCAGTTCCGGCAGACTTCCTTCAGCCAAACCGAACAACATTTCTGTTACGCTCTACTTTATGTCATCCTGAGTGCGCTCGTGTACGCGCTGTACGTGTCCGTGGCCGGCTACGTCACGTGGCCCTACGTGTCGATGGGCTGCCTTTTACTAGCGCTCATTTCTCTGAGTTTCCTGACATTCACCGTAGCCAGGCCGCAGCTCTACAAGCAGTACGCGGCCGGATTGGCTATGGCGACGTTATTCCTCGTAGCGGGGTTCTCCTTGGCACCTTTCTTCCTCCCACCCGGAGAATACGAGATAGAAGAGAGCCACTCGTTCTCAGTCGGTAGGTCGAATGCGAGCGATCCCGAGATTGGACGAGAGAGGAAGATTGATGCGTTGCGAGCAAGTCGCGAGAAATGTTCAGGAACGACGACTCGATGAGGAATGTCCCGCTAACGAGTGATACCCCATTGCCTCTTTCCAGGTTTTTTCTCCACCTGTCTCTCGTTCATCATGCTGTCGTACACACTCGTCGGGCCGCTTCCCCTTTTCGTTATATGTATATTCTGCGCTCTATATTCGACGGTGTTTGAGGTTTTGTCGTGGTACGTCTTGAACCACGTGAACACAGCAACGATCCTTTCTGTCAGGTAATGGAATTTTCTACTCCTCTCGTTGATTCCATTTGCGTTGAGAGGGTTTCGGTGGAGCTCCAGGTTTGCTCTTGTTCGGAATCCTTCGCCGGAGCATTTGTCCCGAAAAGTCGCGTACTCGCCTTTTTTTATCCCGAGTTGTCGCCAGACAGCTCGACCGCAACTCCACGTCACGAGTGATTCAACATTTTCCCCGTCGTTTGTGCTCCGCTCGAGGCTTTACTCAATAGCGTCGTTGGAGCTCGCCGTCTCGAAGGGTCTCCCAAATCTGACGAGTCCTCTCAGCGGTAGATTTTTTTGCGACTTCCTTCTTCACCGAGTCATTACTTCCTCTGACATCCTTCTCCGGGTCGACGACGACGACGACATTCCCTCCCGTTCATCTATTGCGTCTTGACCGGCTCACACGAATTACGAACATAGAAACAGAGCGAGAGCCGCTCTCAAGATCGAGCTCGTCGTCGTTCAAGGACAAGGTCGTTCATTGTTCTCCGAGAGTTAATTGTCTCAACCGAGGGCCTTTGCAGGGTTCTCCTACAGCTGTCTACGCACATTCTCGGCATTAAAATCCGACTCTTGGCGGAAACGTCGATGAGGAATACGTTTTATAAAGTAGGCGAGTCACTTCTCGTGCGACGCGAGCTTGAACTGGAGAAGCAGCTAAAAGAAAAGATGATCCACTCCGTCATGCCACCGTCTGTGGCCCAGTGGTTGATGAGCAACACGGCAGAGGAAGGCAACGATGACGACGATGACGAGCGAGTAAATATCGAGCCAACTCAACAGCTCCAGGTCTGTTTTCTGCTTTGCCCATGAGGCGGTCTCTCCTTCTCGATAGACTTACTTTTCGAAGCGCCTATTGCGCCCCTCCCTCATACAATTCGTTCCATTCTGTCTTTTCCCTCGGCCACTCCTCTCTCCCGGTCGGAGGAAATTGGAGATGGATAAACTCCATGATCAACAAACGTATCGATTCTTCGCAGCCCCGCTCATCCAACCAGATGACCTTTCGTCCCTTCAACATGCACCGTATGGAGAACGTCTCGATTTTATTCGCTGACATCGTCGGCTTCACTAAGATGTCCAGCAACAAAACCGCTCACCAGTTGGTGGGTCTGCTGAACGACCTGTTCGGTCGCTTCGACTTCCTCTGCCAGAAGAATGGATGCGAAAAGATCTCCACTCTCGGAGACTGCTATTACTGCGTGGCCGGATGTCCCGAGCCTCGGCCGGATCACGCTAAATGCTGCGTGGAAATGGGCCTTGCGATGATCAAAGGTATGACCGGTCCCTAGGGTGCGTTTCGGCAACACAATCCCATTCCTTAATTCCTCTCCCTCAGACTTTCCCGATCATTTACTCCCTCGTGGATATTTCCGCCGATCCTCCGCAGTTCCACAGCTCCCTCCCTCCGACTCCTGGTTGAGTTCCAGATATTCTTCCGGCGGTCGGGAAGATCGTAATTCGATCCTTGAGTTTCCCGGTGTAGACACGCCGTCTGCTCAACTTTCGTCGAATCATTTCATTTCCGGGAGAAGTCGAGACTTCCCCTCTGGCCCACCATAGAGGGCCGGGATCTTCAGTCCAATATTTATTGTCATTGCAGCCATCGCCGAATTCGACGAAGATACCAACGAAAACGTCAACATGCGAGTCGGTGTCCACACCGGCACCGTGCTGTGCGGTATCGTGGGAACGAAGCGTTTCAAGTTCGACGTATGGTCGAACGACGTAAAATACGCGAATCGAATGGAGAGCACCGGTCGCCCCGGCAAAGTTCACATTTCGGAGGACACCCACGCCTTTCTGGTGGATCAGTATCACATGGAGGAGGCTTCAGTCGACGTGAGTATTCATTTCCTTCGCATAACGGTTTTTCTACGCTCGTCTACGAGCAAGGCAAGGCGGCCCTCGGTTGGTTGGACGGTCGGTAGGGGCTCCTCAGGGATTACTGACACCGTAGTAACAGTGTCCGTGAAGCCCATCAATTTGTCGATCCGTCTGTGTTAGTTCGGGCATTTGCCGGACGGCTGCTTGTCTTTTTGCCGGGTCCATCTCGCTGCTGCCTCGCAGGCCAATCGGAGTACACACTTGCACACGCGTGAGGATCCGCCCAGTAACAGGCTCTCGTACTCAGTCAGTGGGGCTCCGCATCCACGAGACGTAGACGAGAATAGCTCTCATGACGAGTGTAAAGGGTAGCATTAGCGTGATGAACTCGACGAGAGAGAAAGAGAACGGACAGCATCTCCCGGCAATGACCTTGTCTCCGAGCGGGCCGGTTTTCAGGTGCGAGCTTCCTCCTCGCGGAGGAATGGCTCCGATGGCGCCTCGTCTCATCGAGACTTGTCGATTTCAGGGAGACAAACGGACGTTTTTTATCAGAGGACGCAAGATGGCTGGCGCCAGACACTCGTGGCCGCGCTTCTCGACACCTACCCTGGCTCATATCGGTCAGCAGTTGTCCGTCGACGGCGCCAATCCCAACCAGGAAATCCATGCACTGAAGTGAGTTCCATCTTTTCTCCTCAGCTGAGTAGATAGCCACGAATCGATGACGCGTCTGGAGGAAATTCCCGCGGCGGAAACGTCCGGCGCTGGACGCGGAGTGCAGTTCCATGAGAACGTTTGTTCAGATATGGGAGCTTTACGTACGATTTCGAAACCGACTGGATGGAAAGAGTTTTGTGTGTGGACGGCTTCGACTCGAGGAACATGATCCCAGTGACCTTGAACCGAGAACACTCAACTCGAAACCTAAGTGACCTTGGAGCTACTTGTACATCATCGATTCAGCCACTGCCTTTGAAGACAATGGCCAATATATACGTGTGGGTTAAGCTGATGATGGGTCCGATCACGGATCGATGGGCATATCGCTCTTGGTGACGAAGGGTGTCGTTTCAGCGCCACTGTTTGTGGGTGTCTCCGGTCTCCGACATTTCTCTGTTTTAGTCGGTGACTCCAAGGAGCTCTGTCGAAGTCTCTGACAAGAATATATCCCCGAAGTTCAGGGAAGACACTCGAGCAGCAGAACGTGACTCTCCGCGATGTTCCAATATGTTTCTCCGGGGAAGCGGAGGGATCATTGGGGATGAAGGATCTCTCCGGGAGTGATTTACTGATGAGAGCTCCGCTTTGCGAGCCTTCCTCCGTAAAACTCTCGGGATCGCCATCCTACCGAACAGCGTATCTGCAGCAGCCTGTCTCAGCGAAGAGAGGAGCATCATTCTCGGAAACGTATTCCTTCGAATAATTATCATCGATGGATCTGCTTCTTCGAAAGGCTCGGGTCCGCATTCGAATGACTGCATCGAAATCGTTAAATATCGTGGCTCGGCCTATTCCAATACCCTGCTGAACTGGTGCTGGGGGGGAAAGATCGTGGGTAAACCGATGCAACTTCCATATCAATGAGATTCAATCCTTTTTTTGTCAAAAATGAGATTTCTATCGTATATCGTACTCCCTGCATTATGAGAGCATGCTCGTCTATGGCTACCCCCTGGGGCTGCTCTTCCAATAAGGGGTGCTCTTCTAATAAGGGGTGCTCTTCTATTTTTCGATCCCCCGTGGGTGGTCTTCTATTGGAGGGTGCTCTTCTAATAGAGGGTGCTCTTATAATACAGGAAATACGGTATTTCTGCTCTTCTGACTGAGACGGCTCCCACCCTCCCGGGTCCAACGCCCATGCAAGCTCGTCGACAGTCGATTAAGTTATAACCCTTTACGAGACTCCCGGAAACGTCCCATCAAAAAAACAGGACCCAGAGAGGATCTAGCAGGGAGACTGAATCAGAGTGAAGAAATAGAAGCGCGAGAGATAGAAGTTTACTTTATCTCTTCGGAGACGAACGAAAATCTCTTAAAGTACTTTCGAAGGGCGCCAGAGCTTGCCGTAGTCACTCTTCGCCGACGTCAGCGAACTTACTCTGAGCCCCGACCTTTTGGAGAAACACAGAGGGATTGAGCAACAGGTCCGGAGATCTCATCCCTTTCGAATTCGCTACGGGTCCGTCGACAAGCACGGACTCGAACCGCTACCGACGGCGAACGAAGGGGGTAATCCGAGATTCTGTGTATCGCTGTCAGAGAATTACGGCTCTGAGAAGGCTTCTGAACTTCGGCAAAAAAATCCCTATCACGCCGACGGTCGCGTGCATCTTATCGTGACATCAGATCTTGACAACAGGAGCAACAATTCAAAGCAATCGTTACCGCCGATCACGATCGATGCGCGTCACGACCCATCTTAGGAATCAGATCGACACGACGCCGAACGGAATCACAGCAGCGTACGTGGGAGACTCAATGGCTGAAAATTTACAAGTCGATTTCATGCAAATCCCATTGACATTACTCTCGCGCTGGCCAGATTAGACGACCAGAGAAACTAAGGAACGTGAGCTGAAATTACGCTCATCCGATTTTTCCGTAGCAGCCTAGGGCACCTCTGGGTTCCGAGCTGGGCGAACTCTCTTGCTCGGGAGCATTCTCTCCCGACTTGCCAGGGGGATGAATCGGGAAAGACCTCGGAGCCCGTGGAAATCGAAGAGAGAGGAATGAGGCGTTGTATCGCCTCCCCTTGCTCAGCTGTTGAGAACCGATCAGCTAGAGCACAGTTTGCCGTTCTGTAGCAGGAACTTTCCTAGATCCAGATCGAATCGATGATGATTCCTCGTCGTTTGCCGGAGGCGTCCGAAGTCTTCAGTTGCTATGCATGAAACCTTCCCTCCATGTTATCGATTTTCGCTCCTCCTTTGATGGTGCACACCTCCGCGCGGAAGGTCAAATCGGAGAACTTTGAAAGTCAGAGGACCCCGTGGCTTTTCGGAACTTGCCTCTCTTCCTAACGGGGAGTCATGTTGCATTTTTTCCGCAGAGCATGGCTAATCCAGTGCTCATCTTAGAGGCCCTTCAGGAGGAATTCATCAGCGACCTTTCTTCGCGTTGAATCTCTGCTCGAAGGCACGACATTTCGCTGTCGATGGCAACAACCACTAGCATTTGCCACTAAGCGTCCGGGTCCGCAGAATGTCATCATCGACTCGCTTATTAATTTAAGTCGGCCGAACGAAGTGTGTCCGACCATGAGGTTTTGAGCTCACCGGTCTGCCCAACCTGTCCGCTATTACTGCGCGCTGAGCCGGGTGCGCGTCTGACAATAAGTTTTCTGGCACACGTCGTCCCGTAAAATAATCACGCAAGTCATAGAGAATCACAAAGGCAATTAGAGTGATCTAATAGACAGCTGCACAACCCAGATGCATAGGACGAGCGATCAGATTTTGGGATGACAGTTCACACATGGACCTCATTGATTTCACGGAGAAAATAGGAATCGAGGAGACCGTCAATGAAAGCGCATCTAGTCGCGTTCCCGGAATTCTCCCCCCGCTTTGATGTTATATACGAGCTTTGTGGATCTAAGCGTCTTGCGTCGAAGTAATGTGAAAGGTTCGGCGGATGCTTAAATGTTCGCGAAGCCTATCACAAATATTTTTTTTTCACTCTCGCCCCGCGCCGTGGAAACTCGCAGAGCCGTCCACGGGCTTCCATTAGAGGTTGCACGTGAGATCGCTTTCTACGGCTTGCACGTGTTGCCTACAGCTCTAACAAATTCCCCACCACAGTCTCCGAGCGGTGTTTACCGAGACTTTGCAGGATTCAGTGTTGAGCATTATCGCGGCGTGGTTTTGAACTCGCCGTTCCCGGAAAATTCCGGGCATGGTACCATCGGGGTGATATTTATGCTCGAGACACACCTATCGTGGTACGACTTCACCCGCGAGTCGAAGTCGGCTCTTTTTCGGACAGAAACTGGAATAATCTGGTAGCGGGAGCGGAGCGAAGAAGACAAGTCCCAATTATGGGACACTTGAGGATTTTCCCATTGAAGTCTTGTCCTATTCCTTTCTTGGACACCCCATGATGGTTCATGGGACGCTTTATCGGAGTCTATGGGGAGCTCCGTGACCGCCGTGACGCGGAGTCCCATGTGAAATCTTAAGTTCAATAACTGGTATCTGTCCCATAACTGGTGGGAATATACGAAAACAAAAGCTACCGACTCCAGTCCCGCCCAGTAGTCGCGAATAAGATGTCTCAACCGCTGGGGCACGTTGCTCAGCAAGCGTGACCTTTCACGGTGCGCTACGATGCCTGCATCCTTTCAAACATCGCGCAATTACTCGATGCGTGGGTTGAGTGCTCACCGAGCCGGGGCGTATCCGCTGAGTTGCATCATCATCATCGGGACATGTGAATGTAAAGAACATCGACAACATGCTTCGCGAGGGCTGTAAAGATAGCCACCGAAGATAATAGCTCGACCAAAGCAAATAAGAGTCATTTATAACGAGAGCTCATGCGGTTACCCTGTCACGAGAATGTTGCCGTCACTCATTCCGCCGGCATCTTGTGTAAGCGAATCGATCGCGTCGCGCCCCCGTCATCCGAGAACCTCCGCAGGGAACAGGGATCGATCAAGGAGCCGGTCGGGATTCGCGCTGACGGCTCCGCCAACGGGCAGAATTCGTAGCGAGGGAAGTAAACGTTAGAATAAACCACCTGTATATTCTTCATTTGCAGCACAAGGAAGGCGAGCTGTCCTCCGCTGAGCGAAGAGGTGGATTCCGAGGAAGAAGACGACTGGATGGGAGACGAGGTTGTCGTGCAGCCAACAATGGCGCCACAGAATCATCCACAGCCTCCTCGACGACACTCCTCATTGTCAACGCTCTATTCTCGAAAAGATTCCGGGATCGTAACCGCTCGGAGCAGCATTCAACTCGAATCGGTACGTTTCACAATGGTTGCCTACGAGTCCGAACACCTCGCCGGGCTTTGCCGTATAGTTCAAGAGTTAGCCTTCTCGGGAACAACAGCTCCCGAGATCCACAGATCTCCAAAAGCCGGATCACGTGACGCAATCCCTCGGCGCGATCCGGCAGATCGGTCTCCCACATGATGCATGATACATGCGCCTCGCGATAAGAGGCGAGGAATCTTTTTTGGTCGTCGCCACCCTTTTCTCTCGATACGGATCGCGAGAAGTCGATCCCCGAAACTTTTTGTTCTCTTGCTTCGCGGAGATATTTACGGCAGTCCTGAGTTTCATCGTGAAGCTATTATCCAAGGGCCACAGAGAGGTTATTGAGCACGTCGCCGCAGGTCTCCACTAATCTCTTTCGTAATAAGACCGAGAATCGCAGCAATTATTAAAGCTGAGAATGAGTGGAGCGATTGTGTGCTTCGATATCTGATCCCTCCATCAGAGAAACTCGCGAATTGCGTAGCTTCCGCGTAGTTTTGATTTGAGCTTCCCCCACGCCAGCTCACTATGGGCTTAATCCTCCTTCAAATTGCGTCAGATCTCCTCGAAGCGAACGTAGTTATTTATCTCGCTCCATCCCTCCCTGGAGTCCTTCCGGGAATGCGAGAGTCCCCCTTATCGTAGGAGAAGGAGATCGCAGAGAAAAAAATCCGAATTCCCGAATTGCAGTCCGTCGTCGAGTGCAGCATCGATCGACGAGGTCGGACGTCGACTTCGACAGGAAGGAGCTCAGGAGTTTCCTCGATGAGAGGCTACTCAATTTTCGGCGACGACACTGGAATTTCATTTCGACTTCAGCTGCGGAAGCAGAGTGACCTACAGATGATCAGGTGAGAAATTGATCCTATTATTAGGGTGCCGTCCGGGTCGTCCCAACGCCACCTGCTTCCCGAATTGAAGTCAACGAGTCGATAGCCACAACGAAGGCGATGTCGGCGTCGTCTCGTCAGAGAAAACGTGAGCGCACGTACGGAACAGTTTCCAAATGGCAAATATCCAGAGCATTCCCAGAGCCGAAGGGAATGAAGCGTCTGTTTGAAGTGGATTACGGGACGACAGAGCTCATCGTCGCGCCCCGATCTAGGAACGTTTTGATAACCACCTGGAGTACATCCGGGACCTGAGTTTGTGAAAGCCTGGGAATCTCAGTCTCGATCTTGGATTAGTGGATCCCTTCGTGTAAGCGACGAACCTTGAACTTGTTGGAGCGCTCCGACAGCAATTGGGAGCGTGTTGCTCTAGCCTATATCAGGCGACAGTCCTCGCCTTCTCGGAAGGGATATTTCGAGATCTCACTCGGTGCAGGAGTCTGAATGAGCAGCTTGAGAGGCGTCCGATTGAGAATCAGGACAGATTGGTCAGGCTGGATGATTAGCATTTCTAGACCGCTCCGATCGCTTTGAAAAGTCCCACACAATATTCCCTCCGACAACATTCCCGCTATTGACGCAGTCGCAGGACTATCGGAGAATCGAACTGGAATTTATACTACGTGAATGTATGGAGGATTGTGGATCTTCTGATGAATTATGAACTTCGGTCCTTTATCGAACTTCTTGTGTTCTCAAGCGAACATTGTATGTCTCGACCCTCGTTTCGATAATGCACTGACTCCGCGTCTAGCTCCCTGCGGTTCAAGGAAGAGTCTCTGAGCAGAATCGAAATGAAGCAGAAAAAAGACATCGAAGCTGGTTTCATTCTCCCGCGGGGCCTTGGGAAATGCCTATCAGTTCTTCATGAGTCGGAAACATACGCTCCTTCCCACGCACTCCGGCAATCCGGGTGAACTCTGGGAAAAACCCGAATTCGAAGTTCTAATCGGATGCTATTTCGGGCATTCGGTCGAGTGCAATAAAATCAAAGCGCCCGGTGGAAAAATATTACGATGAATCCGGAATAGCCAGCGATTCGGGAGCTCCGATCGTCAATTCAAGAAAATGGTGTCCCGCTCACAGACTTCACGAGATCGAGCTCTTCTAGATCCCAGGCTCCACGTACAGGGGCTTTCGTCTGAGTTCCGAGCGTTCCTTTCAGATGTATTCAGCAGGACTGCGCAGATGCGGAGCTCTTTGTGAGACCGCCCGTACACAAGCTCTCGCTTTTCTTCAAGGACAAACAAATTGAGCAGGGTTATAGGTGAGTGAAAGCCATTTCCGGATAGCCCGCTCCAGACCCACGATAACGAACCGTTTTCGGTCGCCCTCATCTTATCTCCGGCATCCGAGTCGCGCGAGGGAAGAACGCAGTCGTCGGGTCTTCGATGAGATCGATCTATCCGGCATTCCGATCGCTAGAATGCAGGTCGGCCAACATCGTCTCCTTCCCCTGCCAGCCATAACAATATTGCCACGAGTCAACAGTGGCTTCGGCATCTGAGCGTATTGCCACAACATATACTAGACCCTTTGATCCGGTAACCCTTTACCTTCTTCGAGTCCCGGGCTCTATTCCCGGGCTCGGAGGGCGAATAAGGGATTCGTTGCATACTTGCGGTACTCGGTCCCTTCATTCTGCGCTCATCTCCGTATAGAAGCCATAGATTCACCTTTTTTTTCTTTCGGAGGTTCTCGCTCCACCTCATTCGCTCCTCTCCCTGAGGTAAACATCCGAACCCTTCCGGTCCCGGCGGGTGAACGAAGAGCGCTCCTCCCGTCAACGGTGGGCGAAAAGAATCTGCCTAACGAAACCCAATCGGAAATATCATCCGACCTTCTCATTGCAGGGACCGTCTCCTTTGCCGCGAGCTCACGCCTACATTAGCATCGCCCACATTTACTGTATATCTCTGTGCAACTGTCGCCCTCATCTTCTACTTTGTTGCTCTGCTGACCTGTTTCATGCTCTTCCCGATGCCAAGCGCGGTTTTCCTCAGTTTCTGTTTCGTTGCCTCGTGCGCTCACATAGCGATGGGCATGGTGTGCCTGCGGGAAATCTTCGTCACAAGGGGCAATTGGCAGAGCAACGACTGTTTCACTATGGCCTTCCGGTAAGCACGTTTACTTACTGGAATAGAGCCCGAGTGAGGGTAATTGACTCGAATAATTTCATTAGGGAGCACCTGCCCCGTTCCCTCGAGCCCCCGTACCGACTAAACCCGTTAACCTGACTGGGGACGGTCGCATAGTCTCCCCATTGTGACAGCAGTGCGACGATTTGGCTTGCGGAGGGAACGGAGGATTTCTAATCATCACAAAACGCCTGGTTCCCGCCTGTGCTCGTTCTGAATTCGTCAATAGGGGTCCGGAAGATGCATCGTTTGAGGCCCCTTCCGCCAGGAAGAAGCGGTTCTGGGATTAGTCCAGAATAATAATTAGAGATTCCCTACAGTCTTGAGCGAACGTTGCGTCGCACTGGGCGGAGGATTTGTTCGGAAGGTCCAGTAAGACCGATTTTGAGAGTTGTGCCGTCCCCCCTCAATTCACATCTCGGGAATTTTCGGAGAGGTCCCACGCTGCCTGGCACCCAAGGAGCGAGCAGGTCGAATATTTGAATGCGGCAGAGACGACGACAAGCCTCAACCCTGCCGGCGGACGCCTGTGCACGCCGCCGTCGGATTCTCAGAGACTGTAGCGATATCGTTGGCTGAGAGATGCGAGCAGATCAGGTTGCACAGGAAACCGAAATAGCATCCGAGTTGAAATACGTCATCGAAAATGCTCTGTTTAGTTTGGGGGGCTCAATCTAGCTCGCACAGCTCCTAACTTTATCCGCCTTGCCCTCAGTGATGCGAACGCCCTCGGGATAGAGGAAAACTCAAATCAAGCCGACGAGTCCTATCTAATCTGAATGACTCTTCTGCAGGTACCTGATGAAGTGGACGCCGCTTCACGTGGTTGGTCTGTTCCTGCTTTGTGTGCCGGTTTTGGCGGTTTACACAAATTTCGCGTGTGACGCTGTTTTCAATAGTTGGCAATCCGCAGACGGTTTCTGTTTGCTGGCCTTCGCATTTCTGCTGCATTTCACCAATTTCTCACAAGTCAACTTCTGGCTGAGGTCGTTGTTCGCTACCGTGGCTGGATTCTCTCTAGTTCTCTTCATCGGTAAGTCGATCTCGATCGATTGACTTTATCATCTGGTGTTCGATCGCTCAATTACTATCGAGCGGAGTTCTCATCTCTTCCTTTTCGTCATGCCTCGCTTGACATTGCCATCCGTCAATGCGCTGTCGGAGCCGAATATTCTCTCCTCGACCTGTGCTCGAGAGGTGTACAAATATCACACTATTTCCTCATGGAGCAATCTCCCGATACGATCGATCTTCCCCTGTCATTGGGATCCATGCACTCGTGAACTTTCGCACCTTTAGAATCTCGTTCACCGGTGGTCGACTCGAAAAGGGCTCCAGTTTTAAGCTCGCGCTCGAGCGTGCGTAATTGAGGGATGTGAACAGTATACCTCAACGGTGTAATCATCGGGTCTCTCGCAGACGCGGGAGCTCCGAGTTACGAGGTCTCGCCTCATTCCAGCGCTGGAGGTCTAATTTTCCGAGCTCGGTTCCTCGAACCAGACCTCTTTAAGCAAATTTCAGCCCATCTTGCTGAAACCCGTGGCGCAGTTGGCTTACGCAGCCGGTTTCTAAGTTCGCGTTTCCTCATGTCTCCAGGCGGCATCTTCTGCGACAGCAGCACATGCACAGCGGGCTCACGACGAGCGTATCTTTGTCGTGAATCCAATACAATCGTTTGGAACATTTTCGTCCATGTCTTGCTGACAGCTGTGCTCGTTTGGCTTCTCAACCGGGAATTCGAAACCAGTTTGCGACTCAGCTTCCATGGCGGCTGGCTGGCATCGCAGGATCAAAGGAGAATGCAGGTATGTGCCTGTACGGCTTCCCACCCCATCGGAAAGACGGGCCGAGCACGGAAACGAGTACGATTAGGATGGGGCTCTTTGCCAATGGAGACTGCGATCGACAGTCGGGGAGAAATATGAGGAGGACGATCCAGGAGAAATGCAGTAAAAAAAACACTGGTCGCAGAGAAACATCTGAAACTTTGTTGTGAGGGGAATCGAGCGGAATTATATCCCATTGGACCAAACACGAGCGTATATATGAGTCACCGTCTTGAGACAACTGCCACGACAGATATCAGGGAGAAGGTTTTGGCGGCGAAATGTCACAGTGAGAAATTCCCTTCGACAGGTTCTCAAGCGACAGGCCGATTGGCTGTTGCATAATATCATACCGCGGCACGTCGTCGAGCTGCTCAAGAACACTTCGCGTTATTCGGAGAACCACCGCGAGGCTGGGATCCTATTTGCCTCAATTGTGAATTTCCATGAGCTCTACGACGAGAGCTACGAAGGCGGGAAGGAATGTCTACGAGTTCTCAATGAGCTCGTCGGAGATTTCGACGAGCTGCTCAGCAAACCTCAGGTACGAATTTTTTCCTCGGGATCTGCCGCGGACAGCTAAACAACGACATCGTATTCTTCCATCACTTTATTCTTCCGACTCCCAGTTCCCTCTATCGATCTCTGCAGAAGTGCATTCCATGTTTGCGGAGCGAAAAAGGTGCGAAAACACTCGCTTCCTTTTGGAAAAATCATTCTTTGGGCTCATGCAGAAAATCAACCCGCGAATCGATCGAGATCCTTGGCGAGATTCCCATGCTGGAGTTCCGGCTCATTGTGGATTCTCATTGATCAGGGGTCATGTCGTATTTCTTTATCGTCGCGAACGTGACGGACCATGTCGTCATGCAGCTACAGACGTTTGAGCGGATCGCTCTCGTGGGGCTCCATGTAGACGTATATCTGACGGCGGAACGTGAGACAATCGTTTCTTGCTGAGCGAATGTCCGCTCCGCGATTCCCTCTCCAATGCAATGGAGCTTGAGCAAGTTGAAATCGCGGGACTCGGTAACGACCCTTGTTCGCTGGCAGGCCGTGTGACTAGTCAATCGAGTAAGCAAGCCGCGGAAGCCGTTCAAGGCCAGTCGCTTGGATTTGAACGCAGACGGATGTGGAAGAAACTCCCTCAGGCAAGGGCGCCCGGAGCTCTAGTTCGAGTGCTGGACCTTCATTACAGCGAGAGCGAGATAGGCAAGCCACCGCGAGAGATGGGGTATCCAAGATAGAGAGCTGCGAGCGTTCGCCCGCCCTCCCCCCTGTCCTCCCGACCCTGGTCAACACCCATCCTCAGTGGGCCTTGAACCACGCAGAACAGCTGATTCCCTCACACGAGGCCTGACCTCCAGCTTCCGAATGTGGACGCCGAGACTTGCTCTGTATCAATCGATTCATCGCTTCCGTCGTCGATTTCTCCTTCGACGAGGTGGCTAAGCGAGAGTCCGGGAGTCCGAAAACCAGGGAGGATCGGCAATCTAAGCTTGACCTCCTGCTACTACAGCTCCGTGAGTGTATTTGTTCCTTCGGCCGGCATTGTGTCCGCACCCGGGAGTTTTTCCGAAGGTCGGCTCCTCGACGCTGAAAGTCTCTTAGATTCTCTGGCTTCTGCGGCGCGGAACTTTCTCGAGTCTTCTGCTCCTTGGGCGTTTTTTCCTATCGGGGCGTTTCAAAGCCACCCGAGCGATAAACTCCACTGGGAGAAAACTGCAGGAAGCTTTTCGTTGCAGTTCCGTAACGTGACGAAAATCAAAACTATCGGAGCGACGTTCATGGCCGCGTCGGGTCTGAACCCCAAACTACGGAGGGAGAACCCGCATCCGTTCACCCATCTGTACGAACTCATCGATTTCGCCCTGGCTATGCAAAAAGTCATCGAAGACTTCAATTCGAATCTCCTGGAATTCAAGTTCATCATGCGGATCGGTTACGCCCACGGAGACATCACTGCAGGAGTAATCGGTGAGCTCACCTTCATGACGTCATCGGGAATGAATGTCTCAGAATATTGGGTAGCAGCATTATTCCAAGCCCTACAGTCGGACGGCCGTCTCTCTTGTCATGAACATTATGTCTCCCCATAGCTTTCGATAACTTCTGATGTCCTCAGTCCCCTCCTGGGTACCTTCTTTAATGTACGTCGCACCACTGGAGTGCTGAGTCGGGAAGATCGTAGAGTGACTTCTCCTTTCATATCTCTCGGATTGCCTCGGGTTTCACTTCAGAAATTCACAAACGTGTGAGGTCGCGAAACCGCGCGAGGTTCAAAGAGACTCAAGTCGCGGCGAATGTTGCCTCTCGCCGCAGCAGCGCCAATGCGCGAGAAAAGTCCTCGCGTCTCGAAACTGGCGCGTCCATTAGAGCCGGTTTCCGGCCCCCTAAACTCTGGGAATTCCTCGTTATAAAACCGTAGGAGGAAATAGTAAGCCGAAATTCTCTTCGCAGGAACAACCAAGCTGTACTACGACATTTGGGGCGATGCCGTCAATACCGCCTCACGGATGGACTCCTACGGTGTGCCCGGTAGAACTCAGGTGAGGAATATTCAGCTTTCCTCCCTCGCCGTTCCGCTCCAATTCCGAATCGTGGGGCTTTGTGCTTTCACTTGTTGCCAATGCTCGAACATTCTGTGCGTATCGTTCGTTTCCGCGAATCTACGCGCTGACTCAACATCCGCTCGTTATTCTCCGGTGTTCTACGCCGTTGCGAGTCGCCAGTACCCCGGAACGAGCGCTTCTGGAGCATTTTTGCCCGGGGAGGAACAAGCTTTGGAGATGATCCTATTTATTCCTTCCAGGTCCCAGAGCACTGTCTCCCAGTGTTGGAGGAAATGTACACATTCGAACCGAGGGGCTCTATGTACATTAAGGGCAAGGACCACATGAACGTCTACCTTCTGAATCGGAAGAAAGACAAACAGTTGCATAAGATTCCTTTCAAAAGACAGGGGACCTCCATAAACCAATCGTGAATCCCCCTGGGAGCTGAAGGTCGAATCTCGCTCGAAGCTGGAACCGATGCACCGATATCTGAGGGCGGATACGAGGGCAACCTGATTTCGCTCGTTGTTGATAAAATAGGGCGAGGGACTCTCAATACGAAATCCATGTGTGAGGCTACATGCAAGGGCCAAAACGACGAGGGAATCGAGTGAGAACGCCGATTCTAGGGATCTCGTTTGAATGATTGCATGCCTTGATGTGATATGTAAATAGGATGTAGTGAATGTCGTCAATATCATGTTCGACAGGAGAGTGTAATGTTCGAGGATGCTCTTCGAAGAACCGCAGACAAGCGGAGTGAGAATCGCGACAACTTCTGATCAATCGTAGCTTTCCATGTTCGACTCACAATGTATACAACTTTTACTGAGAACAGCTGTTGGTGACACAACGTGACAAAGCGTGGCGACATGGCACACCTGGATTGAGAAATTGCGGGAAAAATCCTGCCGGACCGAGCATGGAGTCAGAACTACCGTGGCAACAAGCTCGGAATCATTTGTCAAATGTCGCGCTGATGAGGCCGATCAGGAACAATTTGGATGCCCTGCTGGGGTTTGGATGACTGACCAATTTTGTACATACGTGTACTCGTTAACGAAGTGGAACCTCTGCATTGTTTTTCCCAACATAAAGATAGAAGCGGAGAAGAACCGATATAATACGGACATGGCGATCCTTTGAGAACGGTCGGAATGGATCGATTTTTGAATGTCATCCCGGTTCTAAGACGAACTCATACAATGAGACGAATGCGACTTCATTCGTATTAGAAGATACTGAATCTTTTGGGATCAATCGGAGTTTTTTTGTACATTATACGTCTGTAGGAGATTCCGAACACTCCGATGCTTAAATCCCGTTCCTATGTTTCGGAGTTTTCTAAGTGTTTCCTACTGAAGTAATCGAATAATCTCGGAGCCGGAAGTCGTCAGATGAGGCGAACAGTGAAGCGGGAGGAAACGAATCATCTTGGCAAGCAATTATCATTCAATTCATTTGATCACAATTCCGAGAAGTCAGAGCTGGGCATTGAGTTCCGCCGAGAAATTGCGCACTGTATATTTCATGATTCGAGCAGTAATGGAATGACCGATCGATCGTGAAAAGATGGAAAAACCGTTCAAGGATGGGATCAATTTAGGTGGGTCGGAACTCGGAACCTTGATATTCGGGAGTGCCGTGCAATGATATCTAGGTTCAGGGGGAGGTCATCCGATCTGTCCATACGTTTGGACTCAATTCAGTACTCAAATAGAGCCCGGCAAGTCGGTGGAATTATTTGTCGCAAGCTGGAGCCAGAAATTAAAGATCTGTTCGCCTACTGATGGAAAACTCGTTTTCATTTCCTCGCAGCCAGACCGTACGTTACGAATATCACCCGCGTCATCTGTGATTATAATCGTCTCCACACACAGGGACGATCTCCTCCCAATTCAGGACATCTTCCGAACCACACCGTACGCGGCTACCGACGTGGTTGGTGCGGACGCTCGAAGCTGAGTGACGTCAGCGTCCGATCTCGGATCACCGGACTTCGTTCAATCCAGTCCAGCGTTGTCGTGGGACTTCCTCGCTTCTCTCACGCACGTCTGCTCTACCGCATGAGACGTTTTCGAATTAAGCCGCAAAACCCAGGTTCCGGAATTCGGCCGGCCCTCTGTTTCAGTCAGATCGAGGACGGCATCGGGTCTCCGGGAGGAAAAAATCGCGATTAGACGTCGCGATCGTCTCCGAACTCGCAGCGGTCTTGCGAAGATAAATGGCGAGCATCTGCTTCGAAAATTGCTCCTGTAACTTGTGAATGACACATTCTTCTTCCTCCTCATTTTTCCAATACTCCCCGAAGATTTGAGGGCTTTGCACAGCCTGACAATCCGTCATTCTCCGACGGAGTAATATCGTCAGAGTCGAGATTCCCCACAACAAAAACTACACGAATGATTCTATCGAGTAATTCTCCGTAGAAGACGAAACTCATATCGAACATATATAATCACCGTCTGACTCATTTCGCCAGGCGCGTCCGGGGATCGAAACGCCATCAGCTCTCGGACAGAACACCGAGCCCCTCCCTCTCAAAAAGCGTCTTCGTCGACTCTTGGGGGTAAGGACCGCCCATTTGATGAAACAGCGCCTCTCTGGCTCACGTGAATTCCGATAAAACGCCTGGAAAATTAGGGTCGAGGTGTCGCTTGCGTCGGAGAACTCTTCACTTTTACTTGCACAGATTGATTAGAAAGTCTCGCTTATACCGCCCAGACGCGAATTCGTGAACAATACCTCCTCCTCGCCCATGACTTGATTGGAAACTCCCTGGATTATAAGTGCCGGGAGTGAGCCTCAGCTGTTCCGCTTCAATCGTTCTCGCTTAGCTCGCTCGTCCTAATTGTTGCGCCGAGCCCGGGTGCGAAACATCTCCTCGCGATACGATCACTTTCGGGGGACTCAATATCGGAATCTTCCACCGGCGAGATTTGCAATGCAAAGTAGGCGCTTCGTCATTATGACGATGGACAGCCTTTCAGCGAGGATGGAAGAAGTTTTTCGGAAGCGAGCACAAGTTCTGCCGTCCCATGGAGTTCGGATCCGGTGGAGGATTGAGCCCGTCATCATACCGCTCGGTCGAAAAGCTGTGCGCTCCGGTCGAATCAGGCTGATTCTATGACGAAATGAGATTCCATACTCTCGTGACATCTGTCGCTAGTGGTTTGCTGTCCGTGATCAAATGGCCCGGATATGGAGGCGCAAAAGACGTCTACGCATCCGATTAGCTCGCGATGGGGCAGATGACGGTCCAACGACATTAGCTCATTATAAGACGTGGGGGTACCTATTAAAATCCATTACGGGTGCAAGTTTTCGAATACAATAAACCAGATTCAATTCCCCCCGGTCGAATCCAGAGGGAGCTCGCGGTTCCACGAAAGGCTTTCTCGCATAATGATCCCGCATTGCGCAAAGCTGCAGACCAACGAAGGACGGAAACTAATGGTAGTGGTGAGAAATAGTGATCTGATCGGAGTGAGCTGCGGTCAACCACCCGGAAACCCATGGGATGCTTCCAAACTGCAACATGATCCGAAAGGCAAAATATTCTGTTGGTTGAAAATCAATCATCAATTCAAAGATCATCCCTCACCAGCGATGCCGAGGCCTTTCTGCTCGCGGAGAGCCTGCGGCGCGGCGCGCCTGAATCTGTCGGAATATTCGCAAAGCTATTCGCCCTCAGGCGTCCGATCGGTGGCGTTGCCGAAGAACGAGTGCGGCCGAGTCGAATCGCAGGTCCGACTGAGCCCTTACCGAGCGAGTATCTCCACCTGAGTGATTCATAGGAGTCTCGGTACGAAGCCGCGGGAAGCAGGAGGGCTGTTAGACTAGTAGATAATTTACCCTTCGGGTAAGAAAAAAAACAGGCAGACGTGACGGGAAGCCGGAGTCGTTTGACTAGCGCTAGAAAATTGAATGGAGCCCCGAGCGATCCTGGAGCGTTCAAAGGGAATCACTATGGAGCGATCTCTCCGGAGGTCGGAGAAGGAGCGTGGTTCGGAAAGTTTTCATCGATGCCGAAAGCCGAGCTCGGACCGCAGGGGTATCACGAACCTGAGCCGTCTGGTCGAGATAGGGAGAGGAAGCAAAAAAAAGAGGGAGACACGACTGCGTCGGAGAGTCGTTCGCAGTCGCTCGCCAGAAGTATAATGGAAGCTCAGAGAGTGTTGTTCCTGTGGACGCTGAATCGCTCCAACGATTTTTTGTCTCTTCATTAGGAATCCGCTCCGCAATCGTCCTCGGTTTTTTTTCTGACTTGGTAATTATACTTTCAAAAAGCAGCCTAATGGTGCCTCTGACCCGTCGCAAGCCTCGTGACGGCCGAATCTGGAGTCGATTTCTGAGACGTCGGAAGCATTCATCCTTAAAAGGCGGGGAGAGAGTGATCGATCTGATGAGAGGACGATATGGACTACTTCTGGGTTCGAAATTACTCTTGTTCATTTCCCGTCCTCGCCACGTATAGTTTGTCCTGCTCTAAAGGTCTGGAGCAGGTATTCTGGCAAATCTTCGGAGTTCTTCTTCTCGTGGTATCTCGAGACGAACACAATTTCCGACGAATGATTTCTTGCCGCAGGACAATAGATCCTCTATCCTCCCCGTAATGAGCTTCTTCCGTTCAGATTTATTATTTCTCTCGATAATGAAGCTAATGATTGAACGGCGCTCGGGAGTCCTGGCGACCGAGTCGACTCCCCGACGGGAGCAGTGAATTCTCGACGGTTCTTGCTCCGAACGCAAATAGGTGTCCAAGTCGGGCTGTTAATTTTTTAATTTTTAGAATTTCCCCTTCCGTAACTACGTTACGACTGACGGGAAGCCAGCTGCTAACGTGGCTGCTTGCCGCTGAGTCTGCGTGCTGCTGACACTCTCTCTCTCTCGGGTCGAGTTCTCGAGGGTGAATGCGAACGCGTTCGCGATTCGCCTCAAGGGATTGTCGCCCTTCTCGAGGTTAGATAAACTGTCTCATGCGGTCGCGCGGACAATTTCTGAAGCACTCCCGGTCTCATGGAGCGCTAACGTTATCGGAAATGTCGGCACTGCATACATATCGTCGACATCACCGCGACACTCGTATTTATTTGAATTATTTACCTCCCCCGGCAGGAGGTAGACTTTTTCAGAGAAAACTCCGCGAAACGGCTCTGAATTCGCGCCTCTCCTGCCGCGCTTATTGGAGCGAATAATCACCGTTCCAGGTCATGGAATCTACGGCTATTCGACGTTTCCTCGTCGGCTTACTCGAACGTCGCATACAGGCGCTAGAAGGGGTCGAATGCAGAGAGATAGAGCGTTCGGTTTCTAAAAACTCACAGGTGCTTACTTGCGCCAGAAACGAGATTTGCCCGGCTTTCTTACTACTGCTTGAGCACGCTCATTTCACGGGGTAACGCCATGACTCGCTGCTAACTTACTCAACAGGTCTGT